GGTCAGGATGTCACCTCCTCTCGGAGCCTTTAGCTCCGTGTTTACCGCTTTAGCCGAGCTGCTAACCAGAAGCTACGAGTCCTCACCGGTCCAATCCACTGAACCACGTCCCTCCACTGGAGCAACAAGTGTCAGAGCAAGTGTCCCCCCCCCCACCTCCTCCTCCTCCTCCTCCTCCTTCCCATCCAAATAAGTGAAAACCAGTTTGACGGACCGTGGGGGAGTCTGGATTCACGGGACCGGTCTGGACGTGTTGTTATTGAGCAACCGACGAGTAGAGATGACATGTAACCGAGGGCAGGGCGTCCCCGGTCTGTTGTCATGCAGGAGAGAAGTTCCTGAGCGGTGATTCACTGGAATCATTAGGAAATATATCCTCCGCTCATGTGTTGTCACTGTTTACTCACCCTGGGAAAGTTACACGTACTTCTTCAGGATACACACAGGGGGACGGGTCAGTTCTGTCTGTGGTGATGCTGGTGGTGGCAGTTTTCTATCTCAAACTGAAGCAAGTAAAAGACCGACTCACACTAAGAAGCACGAAGCTGCACAGAGAGCTCTTCACCTGTTCACTCACAGCTCAGTGAAGACACAACCTGAACAAGTTCTCCTCGACACCGCACTAAATTCATGGGATCCTTAACGATACACATGACAAGCGTGAAGCAGATAAGAGTATCGAGATATGAGGGTCACAAATGCAGACAGATGAATGGAATTCTAAAGATGGACACATCGGCAGATATTTATCTGTATCAGACACATTTGTTCTCAGCATCTCCCTTAAAAAAAATGCCATATTAATGTCGCACTGGTCCGGACATTCGTACTGAATTCCACAGTCGTGTGCAGCAGGTATGCAAATCATTACCAGTTCCAGTGTGACTGGACTCAGCTGTTTGTTTTGTGTAACGTGCTGTCATGTCAACGTTGTCTCAGGTTGATCTTCTTAATCTCACCTGAGTGATGACAGACTCACCCACGGTTTTGGATTTAAACTGTTTATACAGTGAATTGTGTTTGAATGTTCTTTACACAGTTACACACCACTTGCTGTCGAACACTCATGTTTGCAGGCCAACAATGGTTTCAGTCAGATTTTCCCCGACTCGCTTCACACTTTGCAGAATGGATTTACTGTTCCAAACGCCCTGGAAAAACCGTATCAGTATTTTCTTAACTCTTCACTGGGCTACTCTTCTCTTCTTGCAGCTTTCCAGAGTTCTACGTCTGCTCAAGTATCCAGCCGAGGACTCTGAAAACCCTCCGCAGGTAAATATCAGTCTGTGTGTCTAAAGCTATAGCCTCATCCATATCGCCACTCCATAAAGACATTTTGATGATGAGCACAACCTATGATTTGGATTTTTACATGTGCTTGTTGATTTTCGCAGACACTGCCCAGTGGAGTTTGGCTCCAACAAATTAAAAAATTGGGCCTATTTCCACCAGGCAGTTGATCCATCAACCAGCTCAGACAATAGACCAACAATTAGTAATTAAAAAAATATAAATCTTCTAGCGTCTCTTTGATTGTATTGGTAGAGAAAAGGGAAGAAAGTGTGTTGTTTGACATTGGACGCTGGTTTTCTAGCTGGGGGTCAGAAGGGTACATATTTGTGTCTGCAGCTTGTGCAGGTGGATGATTATTAAATGTATTAAATATAATCAATAATAGGGATGTGTGCGATATGAACAAAATCAAGAGATTATTTAATTTCCAGATAAGGATGCACATTGTTACTCATCACTCAAAAAACTCTTCATGACCTTTTCCTTTCACGTGATGAGTTGTAATGTCAGCTGTTCTCTCTTATCTTCTTCATGTTGTCTGCAGGGAAAAGCTTCTTGCAGCCTCAGGAAATGTCTTAATGTTTGATTTGACGACTCAAACATTCTTGTCTGCCTCTCCTTCTTAGACTCTCTCATGAAGCTGGTTCTTGTGCCTGTCACAGTGGTGTTTCCAGTCTGAATCATATGTCGTATCAAAACTGTTATATCGAAACCACACCCCCAACTCACCTTAAACACTTCACGCGTGCACAGGACGTTCCCATACCACACCCATACACATGCAGGTAGTAGTGTCAAACCCAGCTGTCAGCAGACCTGATGTGAGAACTGTGACTGATCCCAGTGACGTCGTTGATATTAGTCAGACTGTTCATCCAAACAGGAAAAAAACCTGTTAATGAACACAAGCCTGCCAATCAAGACCCACTCTGACCCCGCGAGGACTTTGTGATCTTCCTTGTGAGCTCAGAGTGGAAAAATAACTCCACTTCTCTGTCAACATCTTCCATCTCCTGTTACGACTTGCTGTTTACCTGTCTGTGTTTGTCCTGTAGACACCCGAGCAGGCCTTCAGGCACATTCAGAACATTGTTGACTTCAGCTCCAACGTCATGAGCAGCCTGCTGGGAGAGAAGTTCATCCACAGCGGGGTAAGGCACTGTTTGCTGTCATTCAAGTTTTAAATCTTTCATCACTTTGTCTAAGTTTTAACTAAAAAAACAGTGAAAGAGTTCCATGGCTTTATCATCTTGCTCCCATGTTAATAATGTTACCAACTCATGGTGGACAAAAAAGAAAAGATCAGTTGATGCAGCACAACGGTGAGATTTTTTTTCTGTTCGTCCTTCTCGTCAATGACTTCACACGGCTCCTCATGGGACCATAAATAGCTTGAGTTGAGCTTTTCATTTTGGCTGTTTCACTCCTCGGGTCCTGTGAGGTGGAGTTCCTCTTTAAAACTGAAACAAACAAGACAAGTAATGGACAAACACACGCAGCTGCCAGATGAAAGACTAAAACACACACAGAGACAAATTCTAAGTTTGGCATCATTCTGTAATACTGCAACAGTTTGATACAGATCATAGCAACCACACCCTCCGCTGTTTATATAAACTCACACACAAACTGCTCCTTGATGTGTCACGACTCTTCTATGTCTGTTAATCTACGTCACTTCTCCATAAATCAAAAAGTTTCATCACACCGATAGAGGCTGTAGAGATGCTCTGTGCAGAGCTACTACTTTATAACCAGGGTGCGCTCCTCTTACGTCTTTGTCCGAGTGGAGTTTTTCACTTCAAACATAATGAACAAAGGTAATAAAAGAGACTTCATGTGGAGGTAGTTCCAGAAAGATGAATCAACCCTGCACAAAAAGTCTACGTCAAAGAAAGTGGACACAAATTCTTGTTCTGCCACTTTGTCCATATCCACTACAAAGTGTGTTTTCAGACAGTAACGAGTAACATTACTGACCGTGTGGATATTTTCAATTCTAGGGGCTGTTTTGTAAAATCTTGAGTGTGTGTTATCCAGTCGGAATAAACAATCTGTTCAGAGCTCGGTGATGAACAAGATTTCTTGCGCCACAAAGTTCCCAAAAAACAGTGAGTTAGTGTCGAGGTCTGGGGAGTTAGAGCACATGAGCATCATCCTCCGAGTCAGATGGTGCCTAAATTTAGTTTCATTTCTAAACTGGACGTTGGCGTTAAGGGCGGAATTTATTATTCTGTCACACCGAGGTTCTTAATGTGTCGTGTGTGGACATGTGACGTTAATTAAATGATTCTGAGTCAGTGTCTGATGATGAATGATTAATGTGATTGTTATTATATTGCATCAGAGGTTTTATGGAAGCTGTTGGCTCAGTGACCGCGGCTTCCTGAGCCAACAATGAACTGCTGCTGAGACACTATCACACATCAGTGTTTTACATGCAGTAGATAACAGAAACAAAGGCAGATGTTCTGACCTCATTTCTTTACAGGAAGTGGTCAAACTGCCGCTGGAGTTTGTACGACAGCTGTCAATCAGAGTTCAGCATCAAAGACCAGGTAAGATTGGTTTTAATCTTTTCTGTGAGAAGCACCTGGTTTTTAAACGTGTCAAATGACGTGTGTGTGTGTGTGTGTGTTTGTGTGTGTGTGTCAGTGTGGCGCTGTGATAAGGTGATGGACATCTACAGCGGTTGTGCTCTGTGTCTGCCCAACCTGACGTTTCCAACTCTCCACCAGCCAACACACACTCCCCCCCTCTGTATTGAGATCAAGGTACACACAAACACACACGTGTACACACACACACCAAGGTTATTATAGTTTTGAAATTTTCATTAGTTTTTATTTTAATTTAGTTTTTCAGTTTGCTTTTTTATTTCAGTTTAGTTTTAGTTAGTTCAACAAGTGATGTTGTAGTTTCAGTTTAGTTTTTATTTTGAGGAATCGACTAGTTTCAGTTTAGTTTTTATTTAGTTTTAGTCTTAGTTTTTCCAGGTATTAAGAGAAAGCCTTGACTTGTAGAAGCTAAAAACCAAATATGGTTTATCAAGTCCTTTAATTTCATTCTTTAACCATCACCTGCAGGACAGGAAGTAATCGAGGGAGAAAACGAAGCTGAATTTATCTGCAGTTCAGTTTAGTGTTAGTTAGTTTTGCATTGTTCATTATAGTTTTTATTTAGTTTTCGTTTTTTTTTGTAATTGTCGTTTTTATTTTTATTTCAGTTAACTAAATTATTTTTTCATTGCTAGTTTTAGTCTTAGTTTTCGTTAACTATGATAACCCTGACACACACACACGTACACACACACGTACACACACACACACACGTACACACACACACACACGTACACAGTATTTGCCTGTGAATGTTGTCACTGTTGACCAGAAAGCGTGAGTGAAAACAAATCACATGAGTGTTGCTTTGTGTGTACATGTTGTTCTGTCTTCAGCCTAAATGTGGCTTCCTGCCGTCCTCAAAACACGTCAGCAAAGACATCAAGACTAAAGTGTGTCGCTTCTGCATGCACCAACACTACAAGGTAACGACAACCACTGTGCATCACGCCCACAGTAAAACACACAAATATTGTCCGACTAGATATGACACCCCCCCCCCACATCTCTCTTTAAGGTGGCCAATGGGACGTGGAAGAAACGCAGTCTTTACTGTCCTCTAGACCTGTTCTCAGGGTGAGATTACCACAGAGACTATTGTTACCATCAACACTGCTTCATTTAAAAGTCACAGGAACAATCACGAGTTTTTACAACACCAATGGGAAAGTTTATGTGGAAACGGAAACAGTTCCTCATTGTTTCAACTGTTTCGTGTTTTCTTCATGTTTGTTAGTGTTGGTCTGGTCACTGACTGCAGGTGATGTAAACACATGCTGTAGTTGTTAGACGACATGAGAAACACTTTTCTGTGTAATTCAGTCCAGCACACGAACACTGCAGCCTCCAAAATGATTTTCTACCTCTAACTCCGCAGTGCAGAATTAGCTCCTGATAAAAATCTTGGTGTTCTGCAGCTGAACACAATGTCCTCTGGTTTCTGTTGTTGAGCAGGAACAGACAGAGAATGCAGTTTGCCATCAGTCACCTCATAGAAGAACCTCAGAACAACTTCAAAATCTTCAAGGTGAGACACAACCACAGCCACGGTCACCTACTCTGTGTCATGTGAAACCTTTTGTGTGTCTGTTGCACAACATCCAGCTCCATTAGCAACACAACCAATCCATCAATACATCTACTGGTGTAAAGGAGATGTTCACAAGTTCTAAAGTCTTAAAATAAGATAATCACATGACCATTATAACAGAAACACTGCTCTTGTTCTGAATTCCTTCTGTTCATACTTAAAGAATTCTTTTTTTTTGGCCATGTGGTTTTTTGCTCAAGTGGATTGTTGACATGTATGAAGAGAATTTAAACAACTGCCTGGTCTCGAACGAACCCACACTCACATCTCAAGTTGCTGAAGGTGTGAACAGAATGTTTCGAAACTAACAAAATCCACAAATACTTCAAGCCCAACATTCGATCCTCTTCAGTTTGGGATGATTGTTTCAAAGTGAGTGACACTGAGCAGTAAGAAGACCTGTCTGTGTGTGTTTTCAGGGCGGTCAGTGTATTTATAGTAGTAAAGAAAGAAGCGACGACTCATTGGACCTGAACTCTCTGCTGCATCATCTCCGACCGTACTTCATGTACGGAAACAACAGAATCAACAGTCACGTGACCGGCAAGGCTGTTCTCAACGACTTCATCCAGGTACATCCACACAGCACACTGACATGTGCACACTGACATGCACACACTACTACACAAACTTGTTTGGTGTTTGAGCTGGTGAGAAATAAAGTGTACCGTGCAGAAACCAGCACCAGGAGTCGCCTACTGATCAAATCCTGCTCACGTTGCAGCTTCAGGGGAAAATAGAATTTATTGTCAGATATGACATTTCAAAAAAGTCCCTGCAGGCGTCACAATGTTGGTTTGAAGTTAAATATTTATCTGCTTGAATATTAATTAAAAACACTGAATTGAAGTTGATTTAAATGGAAATATTTTACCTGCTCGTTTAACAGAATTCTACTGGAATACAATTTTTCAGATCTCTTTTGAAAAGTAAATCTTTATCCTTTGGAAGTTAAAATCAGACACTCACTGGGAACAAGCGTCAGAAAAACCTCTCTCTCACTCTCTCTCTGTGCAGGTCCTGGTGAACGCCCTGCTGAGTGGTGGAGGAGGGCACGGAGGGGTGGTGGCGGACAGATGTGGTGAGGGGCGGAGCTTCTGTGAAGGCAGTGTTTTCAATAAGGAGCGGATTCGTCACGGTCAGAACCTGCTTCTCTACCATCTGATTGCTTTGTGTGTGTCCAGGTCACAGTGAGTGAACTGAGCTGGTCAATTATTAGTTATTTCATATTTTTATTTTGAATGTTGAGTCAGTTTTCATTAATTTGTCGTACGTTAGAACCTTTAAATACAGTCTATGGTTAGAACTCAACCTCAATCGGCTGCAATTTGGAAAAAAAAAACAAGCACACACATTCTTGAACCAAAAGTTGATGCTGCAAAGATTAATAGATAAGAAAATATACATACAACTATTTTTAAAGGAACTATTTGATGATTGTGAATATGTTTGCTATTTTCTTGGTTTGCTGAATTTGTGTATGTGTGTGTGTGTAGGCTCTCAGGGGTTACCTAGCAACAGTGTTTTGTTCAGGATCCTTCAGACTCAGATGTTGGACACGTTGGACATCGAGGGTCTTTATCCACTGTATTGCAGAGTGGAGCAACATCTGCAGGACTTCCCCAAAGAGAGGTAAGGCTCAACAAGGCCCAGAGGAGAACGATGTTGATTGATGTCACCGATCTCTGACGTCACTTCCTGTCTGTCTGTGTCAGAACTCGTCTTCAGGTCGACGGGCCGTACAACGAGGCCTTCCTGGAAAAGCTGCAGAAATGTCAGGCTGAGGACGACGGCTCTGTGCAGTACGCCATAGCCAAGGTCAGACTGGTTTCAAGTGTTCCCCTTTATTCCAGTGGCTGAGTCACACAGGAAACTGTGACAGTGTCAGCTGACTGTGTGTCGGAGGATTTCAATGCTGCTGTTTCCATACATTCCTGCTCATTTTCAATCTTAATGCCTAAAAATGTTTCATTTGGCTGAGGTGGAAAAGTTGATAGAAGCAAAATGAAGCAGTGCAGCGGAAACAGACTTCAGACGAATCACAATCCACGTGAAGCGTTTGATTCCTCACATTCATACATGTAGCAAATATAAATGTCCTTATTTCTATGTATTTAAACTTCATGCTTTCTACATAGTTTTCACTGTAGCTCTTTTAATTTAAACTCAGTTTGTTTTAACACCTGAACAGACCCAAACTAAAAAGATTACAACCCTGCTGTATGTTCTGACTCCAGGTTCATCAGTACCGCATTGCCATGACAGCCAAGGACTGCTCCATCATGGTGGTCTTGGTGCCGAGCGCTGAGGAAGAGGAGGACAATGACGAAGGGTGAGTCTGCTTTTCTCGGAATTGTCTCATTAACTGTCTTGATGGTCGTGTTTGGAAAAAAATTTTGATTCAAATTTCAAAGAACAGAGTTGAGATCTTGAAACTGCTTTTGTCCAGAGGTGATAAGGTTTATGATTCCGTTTGTAGTACCTGATTATATCCACCAGGTGGAGCCAGACGTTAGCGGTCTTCCTCCTGTTCACTAACCCTCCTCCTCCTCGTCTCCCAGTCTGTCCAGTCAGAGGTGGTTCAGAGACTTCCTCTCAACCAAACCTCCTGCCATCTCCTACTCCGTCTCCATTCTGGATCTGGATCCAAAGCCGTTCGACGCCATCCCTCGCCAGCTGCGTCTGGACCAGAAGATCGTCTCCTGCTACTTGAGGACTGGTGGTGCTCTGCCGAAGTCCTCTCTGCCGCCGCTGCCAGGCATCTTCACGGCAGCAGAGAGAGAGGACTGCACACTGCTCTTCCACCCGGTGTGAAAGCCCACAAAGAGCAAGAGCAGGCAACACTACAGGCAGGAAAAAAATCTGACGCCACACTGATGCCTCGAAGAGAGACGCCATGTTGATTCCAGAGGTGGAGAAGAATTAAAGAGCAGAGCTGTTTATTCGCAGCAGCATGTTCTCCTCCTCCTCCTCCTCCTCCTCCTCCTCCTCACTCAGCTCATGTTGGCAGGTATCACCCTCTGGTTCCTGCTGCTGCTCAGCAACACAAACCCCAGAAGAAGTTGCAGATAAAACAAGCAGATTATTTTTGTTTCCAGAGATTTTGTGATGTTGTGGCAATTTGACATTTGACTCCTGTGCAGACGTGAATCCCAACATCACCGCTCTGTTCTGTCACAACTCATATCGATTGGAAACCTCGTAACAAGCACGGTTCTTTGGGATTAAAGAACAGGTTCACAATGAAGTCGTTCTCACAACAATAATCAGGCGTCCATATTTAAATAGCAGCTGGTTTTCTTGCTGAAATTATTTCAACTTGTAGTTAAGAGATCTTCTCCCACTGCACTTTCAATGTACATACGTGATGAGGGGCAGAATCCACAGTCCTACTGCAGAAACAAATGTTTCATAAATGAGGCTGTAGCTCATTTAAGTTTCACAAATAAAGTTGGTATTTTCTGAAGTCAGTCTTTTCACACCGAGCTGGGACAGAGCAGATCTGAAGCGTTTCCCACAGAATGTTAATCTATGCGGTTGCTGTGGAGGGGAGGGCTAGGGGGGGGGGGTGTCACCCTGTGAACATGTATGATGAGGGCAGGTGAACTTGTTGCAGCAACACGCACAGTGGGGGTAGTACCTACCCATGTTGTGCTTAATTCTGCCTGCAGAGGACGTTTATGAATGTTTTTATGGTACACCAAAGAAGTGAGAGAGCGAGAGAGAGAGGGAGAGAGAGAGAGAGAGCCAGCGGGGCAGAGAGTGTTTATGTTGTTACGAGAAGTGTTAAGTCTTTTGGAACTATGGTCGGAGGAATTAGACCCAGTTAGTTGCCGCAGCCAAAGTTGTCAATGGAAACGTTTGGTTCAGTATCTCATTCTGAACTTTGGTTCTAAAATCAAACGACAGAGTGTGAGAACAGTTATCAAACGTTCTGACACCTTCCAGAGTCTTTTTAGTTCATTTTCCACCTTCGTGTTCAGGAGGTCTTCCCTTGCTGTGGAGCGGTTGTAACACGGAGAGAGAACTTAGAACTAAACAGGGAGAGACTTTGAAAAATATCTGTATATTTGATTTAACACAAACTGCTGAAGCCTCAACAGTCTGTGGATTTTTTCCACACATCAAGATCAGATCTCTGAACTGACATGAAAAGTTACAGCAGAGGAAACAGTGATTTCACTTCCACATGGACGCCTGAGTATAAGGAACCTGTTCTTTAACCCCCCGCTGTGTTCGTCATGCTGTGAGGTTGACGAGCACTGATGATGTCATTTCCTGAATGTAGGTGGGTGGACCGGAGTGTGGGTCCAGGTTGTTTGCCGAAGCATGTTAACAGAAGGACGAGTTACCATGGTTACAGAGGAAACATGGTGGATCTGACTGCCAAACAGTCTCAGCAGCTGGAAGAAGCAGTTGATATGCTTTTTTTTTTTTTAATTCCATTAATTCTTTAATTTTTATTCCACGTTGGAGTTTTTCAGTCCAACTGCTCACATCAACTCAAACTAACTCACGACTTTGCTTCGTCGCGTCACATTTGACAGTAAATTAATCTTGTTAAAGCAACGCGATGCAACTTTTTGACCTCGGCTCGATTAAAACCAGTTTGGTTTTCCACTGACTGAATGTGGAGAATGTTTCCTCCGTCATTGCCGCTCCCCACCCTGAACATCCGCTCTATGTAACTTCGGTGAGCGCGAACGATCGTCAGTGAGTCACAGCTTCAACTGTCAGAATCAGGTCCAGCAAGTTGAAGAGTGAAGCTGAACTGTTAAAAAGAGTTAAACACCAGAGTTTAGCTCCGATATTCAACAGGAAACTTTTAAAATATGAAGAATTTTAAACAGAGTTTGGTGGATTTGTTCCAACTACAGCTTTCCTGGCCCAGTAAGCCGGGGATCATGGGTAATGTCCCCAGCTCAGTTTAGTGTGTGGGACGACACAGTCAGAAAATCAGTGTTACATGAATCCATGTGTGGCTGCAGGGGGCGCTGTTGTTCAGTAAAAGTTGCATAGTGTTGCTTCGAGGGTTCAAGCAAACCCTGAGATATTGGGAATGTCTTTTTTTAAATATTTCTCAAACTAAACAATTTTAATGAATCAAGAAAATAATCTGATGAATTGATAATAACTGTTAGTTTCAGCCCTTAATGAGACAAAGTGATGAAACAGGGGAAGAAGCTGAGTCATCGCCTGTCGTCATCCTCAGTGACTGTGACCGTCTCCTTTTCACTGATGTGACTCTACAGAGGGTTTTCAAGTAGAGCGGGTGAAACTGTAACGAGAGCAGAGGCTGCTGGGAAAGAGTGCAGGCGGGCCGATGGTCATGCTGCTGCTCTGCTGGTTGTTGTGCCATAAGTGGCTTGTTGTGTGTCCATTTTGTCAATGTGCCTAAATGTTCTGGTAGGACTGGAGGACAAGAGTTGTGTGTGTGCGCGCGCGTGTGTGTGAGTGCGTTGAGTGTGTATTTTGAAACACTCACTTTGTTACAGGCTGCGTTCACAGCTGAGGTCAGAGGTCGTCTGACACCAGCGGTTGTGGACGCAGCCTCGAAATCTCAGTACCTCGAATTCCTGACGATCCGAAGCTCAAGGATGAGTTCAGGGACGCTGGGAGGTTTCCGAGGACAGTGACGTCACCTGGAGTTGAGACTTGTCACTAGGTTACAGCTGTTTGACGATTGTTGACGGGGGTTGTCTTTTTTTGGGGGGGGGGGGACTTTTCTAGTCCAGATTATCGCAAGTCTTCTCGTTGTCAGGTAGAAACTTTGTGTTCTCGTCGTCCTCTGAAACCAGCAGCGCTCGAGGAGGCTTCAGATAAACTGGTAACACTTGACTTGAGTTCCTCTGTTCACAGTGTCCACTCTCCAGCCTCCGTCGCCTCCATCAGCCACACGTCTGAAAACAAATCACACTACAAGACTGAAGCCTCAGACGACAGAAACTCCCTCACGCTCCACTTTGCTCCCAGCGTGAGACGTGTTGTCAGCGGCTCTGCTCGGCCCAAACACTACATCAGCAGATTTTAGATTCAGCTCCATCTTTTTTGACTGAAATCCCAGCGGCCGCATTTCAGCGTCTGCCTGAGGTTAGAAGGCTGGAGAGTGAACGACAGTGAACTGAACCAACCACTGATTGTTGTAACTGTTGAAATGAAGACGCGTCGGGCAGAGCGACGAGGCAGCCGAGGTCTGGACACGTTTAGGCTGCAGCTGTTTGACGGAGACGCGAGTTTGCTTTGACTTATTTTGAAACTTGATCAAAAATGTCACAGAGTTAAAGTTGTGGGACGAATTCTAATGTTTACAACAGGATTCACTGCAGAGGGTTAAATATAGTATACGTTTATAATATGACAACATTGAAGTTTATTTATCTTTAACAACACGAGGCCTCTATGTTCACAAGTGCATTTTATTTATCGAAGCAAAGTTTTAGGTCAAACGCTCAAAAAACTTTGCAGGTGCTGGTTAAAAATAATAAAAAATTTCAAATACAAACTCCCTGAAATGTTTGCATGTCAATGTGGCATCAAATAAAAATGACTTATATTGTGTCTTTAGACACAAGGAGTGGAAACTTGGGAATCATCTTATGACATATTTCAAAATAGTTGCAGCTTTAAAAGATTCCCTTTGTGTTTTCATCTCTTTCAGTAACTTCCACATAAAAAAAACAACACATTTTCTTAAAGATAAATCTCTGACGAGCTTTAAAACAAACAGTTATGGTTATTTGAGTTCCAACCATTCTGAAAGTATTTCAGAGGGAAAAAGAAACTTTTGGTCTACTTTGTGATAAAGAAAAGATTTTTAAGATTTATTTCCAAATCCAGACCAATACACAAGAAGGTTATTATGAGTTCAAGTAATGGAAACAAACATACCTGCTGAACTTCGTGTTTCATTCTGGATCCTCAAAACAGCATTTGACAAAATCACAAATTAAGGTTAAATCACAGACTTTATCTGTTGAAATGTAAATATCTAACTTTGACGTTCTTCTGCCTCCGAAGAGTTTTCATGTGTTGATTTAAAAGATCTAAAATAACAAACTAAACCAAACTAAAAACCTCGAGACAAAGCTTTTGTGGATCTTACGTTACGTTCTTTTTGTCAACTGCTGTTTCCGAGGAAGAAACTAAACTCCTGACAGTATTTCAACGGCAGCAGAATGAAACCGTAAATGAACCTTAAACAACTTTCTGGGTATTTTAAAACATCGTCGGGGATTTAATGCAAAGATAAAACTAAGTTTCTAGAGAAAACAAAGTGTCCAGACCTCTGACCTCACAGAGACGCAGCTCCGTCAGGTGACCTGGGCTCTGATTGGTCGGTCGTCTCTGCCTCCAGCTGCTGCCTGAGCGTCGAGGTGTGGAAACATCGCAGCACTGTGATACCTACAGACTCCTGATTAACGGCGTGTGTGTAAATAACTGAGAGAAGAGAACTATTTGAAAATACAAAGGCGACTCTGCTGTTTGGCATTTTGTATTTAAATTATTTATTTTTGTAGATTTTGACCAATGAGCTCTGCTGTTACAGCCGTGACCGCCGAGCTCTTTCTATTGAATAAAGATTTCTAAGAGACTAAACCGGCGCTGTGTGTTTTCTGATCTGTGTGTTTACTGATCTGTGAGTGTCAAATGAAAACGAAAACCCTCAAACGTTAAAACTAAAGTCATTATTTGCTGCAGATCTTTTTGTGAACGTCTGGGACGTAACAACAATGGTCAATAAACAGTTTTCTGTTTTAACTGCTGCCTCTAATGTGAGTTACGTGTCCTGTGTGAGGCTGACCGCCCTGATCACAGACTCCACCGCAGCTTCAGGTCCCAGAATCCTCAGCATGCTCTGGAAGGCCTCTGCAGCGCCACCTACAGCCTGAGAGGGAAACAACTGCAGCGCTGCAGAGACAGAAAAACAGAAAATCAGATCCTGGATCAGATAATTACATTTGGACGTGACCAGAAGACTTTTTTATTTCAAATAACTTGTAACAATCAGTAATTTGATGTCAGAAGTTTCAATAGAAAATGAATCAGCAGCTTCTTTGACGATGAGTTGATGAATAAATTATAAGATTTGATATTTTTACTTTTACTAAACATTTATTTTATCTAATCAATAATCCAAAACCTAAAAAACAGGTTGTGATTTGAAATGGAGCATCTCACCTCTCTCTGGGATCTTTGGCAACAGATAGATATTTGGAGTGACTCCACCTTCTCTGGAAACTTCCACCGACCAATGAATGGACAGGACGCAGCTACGAATATAAACACAGACTCGATTTAACTGCACACGGGTCACGTGTATGAAATACGAAGAATTTACATGATGTTTAAAGAGATGGTTATTTACCCAGGAAGCTCGGGGTGATTCAAGGTCATGACCTCTGACCTGCAGCCTCCAGGGAGAGAGACGACGGACGGGTACTTCTCCTGTCGACAGTTTAAAAGAGTTTTAATCACATTATAATAAGTTTGAACATCGTCACTGACTTTCTGTCGACATGTTAAATATACTAAAGTAACTCAGTCAAGTTATAATCTATGAAAAGTTGAAGAAGAAAGGAAATGTCCGACTTTTTATTTTAGTCTGAACCAAATGACCAGTTTGTGATTCCGTCACTTTCCCTGTGACCTGCAGTTTCACAGTTGATTCCTGTTCCAGCTGTTTTAATCTACTTTGAAACTTCACGGTTTGGCCTGTGGGCGGCGCTACAACATCTGTCTAATAACTGGAACT